GAGTAGTCACACAATTGTTGATTTCTCTTACCCTCATCCATTCATTAAACAAACATTTTGTTGAGCACATACTTCTATAGGCTAAGCATTGTACTACATGCTACAAAGATGACTAGAACACAGCTCCCTTACCTTCAGTGGGAATGGAGAAAAATTAATGCACCATCTATTTCATATAATAAGGGCTATTTTATTAATAGAAGAGTGTCACACATCTTGCAAGTACTGAGGAAAGAATCCATTAATTTTTTCACAGAACAAATAACATTTCAGTTTTGGAGGGTCGGAGGCAGTCCTCCCATGCAGAGGGAGTAGCAGGAACACAGGCATGAAGACACAGCAAATTCAGAGCGTCCCAGAGTTTGGTGTGTTTGAAACAAAGGTCATCAACTGGCAGCCCAAGGGCAAATCTGGCTTGCAGAAATGTTTTGTTTTGCCTCACAACATTTTAAAATCTTTAACTGGCATTCAAAAATGAAGAGGCTCTCCATAAAATCTAGATTTCTTGCTTATTTTCATTCCCCCATAGCAAAATCACTACAGCTGTGAGCTCTGGAATCTGTTTCTTTCCCCACCACTCCTGTGGCTTCTGGGGGCTGAATATTGGTGGTCAGTCATTTTACACATACCCAGTCCACTGGCTCATGTCACCTGCTTGGCCTCTGTAGATTCTCTGAGTCTGGGACCACAGGTTTGGACATAAGATGACAAGAAGGGGCTTGCTGAAGACACAAGTGAGAAGGGTGGCTGGAACCCAGTCACAGAGGGCTTAAGTGTTCTATGGGAGCTGAGGAGATATCAAAGGACTTCAGGCCAAAATTTCTGGCATATAGAGGATGTTCTGGCAAAGACTAGAGGAGGAAGACCGGTTACAAGTATTTTACAATAACCGTGATAGATATCATTAATTAAATGCCTGCTCTGTATTTGGTTTTATGTTCGCTTCTTTCCTAACATTGTCTCATTCGACTTTCACGATGATGAAATGGAAGTGATACACTTAACCCCTCACATCCACATGGTTTGGACGGGGAACTGAGGCTTACAGTAGTTAAGCAGCTTGTCCAGGTCACCCAGCCAGTAAGTGGCAGATGTGAGGTTTGAACGTAGGTTTCAAGTGGCTCCCATGATATCCAGCCAAGGAAGCAGGCAGGCCAGGTACAGACAGTCTTCAGGGATCAGATCAGAGTGGGGAAGAGTCCTCCGGAAAAGCAAAGGACCTGAAAAATGGGACTGTAACAAAGAAAACCTACACTCAAGGGGATTTTATTTGCAGCCTTCATATATAAATGGATTTTCTTAAGATTTATTTATTTTTGAGAGAGTGAGCAGGGGAGGGACAGAGTGGGAAGGGGACAGAGGATCCCCAAAGCAGGCTCTGTGTTGACAGCAGTGAGCCTGATGTGGAGCTCGAACTCACGAGCTCTGAGATGGTGACCTGATCTGAAGTCGGACACTCAACCTACTAAACCACCCAGGTGCCCTTATAAATGGATTTTTTGAGCAGCATTCCAAGGGTAAATGATAGCCAGGGTTGTTCTAAGCTGATGCACCCCCTCCCCCCATCCAAAAAAAATTTTTCCCTCCTTTTGAAAGCAGCTGGTTCCATGTTTTTAAAATCCTGTGATTCACAAGAGAAGACATCTTCCACGTCCATTCCCCTCTGCCACTCTTAAATGCATCCTTGTGTGAGTAAATGCTTAGTCCATAATCAGTCTACTGAAAGTATTGAGCCATATACCATGTGCAAAGCATTGTGCTTGACCTGTGGGGGAAGACGTGGCTCATTAAGGCACTAGAAATTTTGCTGGATAAATTTAATCTACAACATTGAAAGAATCCAAAGAATTCCAGAAAAGACTGTAAAGTTATAGTGGAGTTTAGGGATGGGGGGAGATCCTTGTGAACTGTAGAAGTCTGGAAAACCTTTAGATACGATCAAATATGAAGACTTGAATTGACCTATAAAGGAGAGGAACATTTGACTAGACAGAGGGAAGTATGTTTGCAGGGTTAAGGGGCAAAGCAAGGTACAGTGGGGAAAGAGGGAGTAGAGGCATTGGGGGAGAAAGAAGTGTGGTTTTTGCGACCAAGTACAGTGAACCCTTAAGACCAGTGCAGAGGATTTACATGCTTCACATACTTTAGCTGGTCATTTCTAGCCCTTGGCCATTCCACTGTAAGTCAGGCATAGCTTTGAGACGAAGAGTAGAGTTTCTGGTACCACATTGCTTCAGAGATGGATGCTGGCTCTACCACTTAACACCTGTGCAACCTTGGACAAATCACTTAATCTCACTAAACCTCTGTTTCCTCATCTATAAAATGGGAGTAATCACCGCACCTACCCCAAAAGGTTTCTGTGAGGATTAAATGGTAGGACTGAGTATCCCAGACATCCAGACCTTCTGAAATGTCAGCTGCTGTCATCACTGTTGGTCAAGTAGATGAGTGCTATGGAGGCGATCCTTCTTTTTCTTAATACATGTCTTAGCTCAGAAGTGTGGCAGAACTTTTCCTGAGTTCCAGCTAGTATCATCAGCTTACGCTCTATCTCTGGAAATGCCAGGGAGAGGTGGCTCCTGCCTGAACCTTGCTTCTGGCCTTCAGTACTTCTCCCACTTGCTTTACAGCCAGAACCAGAATTGTTTGCTCAGTTATTAGTGTTTTTTCAGCTTTTATAAAGTCTTCATGGCTCCAGGTATCTCTTCTTAACTTGCTTATGGCCTTAACGTTCTGCTTCCACTTCTCAAGATGTATTCAGCCTGTCCTTTCATGTACTGCTTCTGTGTTTGTGCTTTCCACGCCTCCGAAATGTTGGGGCAGTCACTGGCTCTGGGAATGCTGCTCACGCTGTTTTGCTACAGATCATTGAGAGAGTGAATCATGAGCATAAAGTATAATAAATAATCACTGGTTGATGGAGCCTGTCCCAGGCTAGCCCTGGCCCCCAGCATGGGCAGGATGAAGGCTTGTGACATTGTCCAGGTCTAGTCTGTCCCCATTAGAAACCTTCCTCTCCCCTGGAAAGATGGTCCAGAGAATGGTTTGGCTGTGTCAGAACCACACAGAGGACAGTGGCCCAGGAGACTGAAAAGCAGCCTTTCTCAACTTGTCTTCCTGGTGCTATAATGATTTGGCCTTCCCAGTGCAGTTAAAAAATAATTAGGAAACAGTGCCCTTTGATGAGACTCCCTTCATCTTGTCTAAATTATATGATTCTTTGTCCCTACTTGCTCCCAAAACATGGGGTTTTTTTCCTTCTTTAAATGGCGTAGAGTGGTCTCAAAGGTTTCAAGTCAACGAACCCGGCCTCTCGTAGTCCCCCATTCTTCCTTCTCACTTAAAACTCCACTTACCTTCTTCTGGACAGTAGTGTTTATCTCATGGCCTTGCAGACTTCATGTGGCTCTGGTTCCTGGCCCCTCCTTGCCCACTTGTAAGAGACACAGAGAAGAGAAGTAGCACCTTCTAGAGACAAATTCCAAGGAGAACTGTGGGAACCCCTGAGGTGTCCCCCACATCACCCACCACCCCCCACACAGAGAGCTGTGGAGGACTGCCCTCTACAGGTTACCTGATAGGCTGGCCACTGATTCCCAGGGCCGGAGAGAGGGCCGAGCTCACCTCAATTCTGGCCTGCAGCTACCCCTCCCCACTGCCTTTCATTCTTCCTGTCCTCTCCCTTACTCCTCATTTAAGCTTCCCTGAGACAAGCTATAAAATACATGTCACAAACTAAGGGGGTGGAAGGAAAGCTGTGAGCCTCAACATTTTAAAAACTAAGGACACAGCTTTGAAGATGAGAAGCATTATTAGGGTATTCTAAATCGGGGCTTCCCAAGTTTGCATCACAGCATGCGTGTGCGCCACAAGTCACCTGCAGTCAGAGAAGGGGCTTGCTGGGCATGCCTATATGGGAACCCCCTCTCTAGTAAGTCTGGGCGAGGGCTGAGGGGCTGCAGTGTTAACAGGCTTCTGGAATGATTCTGATGCAGGCGATCTGGAGACCCTGCTCTGAACGATGCTGCTGTAGGAGGGAAAAGAGCAGGGAAAGGTACATCCTAAACAGAAATCCCTTTTTGTTCTAAAATGTCTGGCTGAGAGACCCCAAAATGTAACATCTTACCTTACCGGTAGATAGGCCAAGTTTGGTTCATGTTAGGGAATATAGCCTAGTCTGGCTCAGAAGTAGGGATGCAGGCATCTCAGTGTGCCTGAGCCCCGACACACTGTGGAGCCATGAAGGCGACCACACAGAGAGATCAATGACAGTGTGTCTGCCTTTGCCCTGTTGTGTGGTTGAAGCTTCCTTCACCGTGGAACCCTGTGTGCCACAGAATTTAACTGGACTAAGCAAATTTGAGAGAAAAACCCTGGAATGAGGTGGTCAAATAGCTCCGAGAAGCTTGGGGGCTCTCAGAGACTTTACAGCAGTGTATCTCAAAGGGTGGCTCAAATAATAACCTGCAGCATAATCTCTTGGGTTCCTCCCCAGACCTACTGAGACAGAAGCTTTGGTGGGATGGTCAGGAATCTACAATGAAGCAAGCTCCAAAGGTGATCCTTATGTTTGCTGGGGTTCGGGAACTGCTGCCCGTGAGGTGACAGGGCACCAGAAGGGTGGGAGTGGTGGCTCGCCTGGAGTCATACAGCCACTTAATGGCAGAGCTGAGCTGGCATTCCCCAGCTCCAGGTGTTCTGGCAGATTCGAGCCCACTCCTCATTCTCAGAGTGGGCTGTGTGTGGACCATGGTGGCAGACGGCTGCCCCAGGACCCAGGGGAAGAGCTCCTCCAGTCCGGGACGGTTTTCCATGGCATCACGCACCCAAAGATTATGGGACCCAACAGCCACACTCGAAGGCGACCATACCAGCACGCTTCTGACTCTGGACTTTCTTACATTTGTCACAACCTACTTAGAGGTCTGAGGGGGAGGACAGTGGTTCAGGGTCTGCCCCATGTGCGTGCACAAGTCAGAAAACAAGAAGGGAGTAACCTCACTTCAAACAGGAGGCAGATGATGTCTGTGATGAAGAGACACTTTTGGAATTGCCCAAGGGCAGGAAAAAGTCCAGAAAGAGCCAGAGCTGAGCTGGTAATAAAGACTCAGGGCCTGAAAAGAGCTAATGAGGGAATCTTATACTGAATGGTACGGGACAGTCCCAAATTTATTCTCATTCCTGTAAGCAAGATGGTCAATGCAGATAAGAGAATAGCGCACATGTCCTGGTCTCTCCTTGGCTGCCTCTGATGTCCTGGTGGGGAGGCGGTGGCCGTAACAACTCAGGTGACCTTGGTGCTAGGAGTTGCTGCTGGCAAAGCGATTGGAGCCTTGTGAGGGCATGGGAATTCCTGGAAGGAAGCAGAATGAATCGTTTCTTGGTTGTTAAGCCCAGTTACTGTAATGTATCTTGTACACATGACTGTTTCTTAAAGACAGCCTTTATTAATATTTTCTTATTCAAATGCATCTCTAAGTGTTCTTTTATTTTTTCCTGGCAGAGGCGATATATCCACCCGGGTAGAGGGGATGGGGAGAAGCCTTCCTTCTTCCTCCCTTCCTTCCTTCCACAAGTGCTGTATTTGAGCCTGAGCTGTAGGCTGTACTCCAGGCTTGGCAGTGGAGGGGTGGGGGGGGGGGGGGGGGGTGCAGAAACCAGGATCAGTAAGATGCAGCTCCATGGGAGGGGACAGATGCTCAGGCAGCCCCGTTGCAGGTGACGGGGCTGTGGTAGAGGCTGTGAACACGGAGGAGGGAGGAGCTCTTATGAGAGAGCCGGGAGAAGCATCACAGAGAAGTGACTTTAAAAAGAATAGAAGAAAAAAAGTTGAACTTTTTTTACGGAAAAAAAATAGAATGTGCTTGATTTTACAGTGAGATTTAAAAAAAGGGGGGGAAAGGGCAGTGACAATGAAGTGAAATGAGAAGGGAATACAGACAGGTGAAGAAAAGGAACATTGTGGCCAGGAGACATGGCCACACCCCAGCATCCTGAAGACAGTGGTTGGAGACCCAAGCTGAGTGACTGGAGGGCTGGGAAGGGCTGTATCTCCTGTCCCCACCGAGGCAGGTGACCCAGCTCCCAGTCAGTAAACGTTTCCCCGGAGTCTTGGGGGACCAGCTGACTACCACTTCCTTTTCTGTCAGTTATTTTGATTTCCTGCCTCTTTGCCCTTACTCTGTGGGCATGTGGGCAGCTTGTATCAGGATTGTTTTTAAGCGTTGCAGGTGATCCGTGCTCTTCCCTGGTGAGCCTTTAGGTCTTCCTTTCCATTTGTTAACTCTAAGGTCCAGTGAAAAGGAATTTAGAACATCAGACAGAGGGGATCCCAGCCCAGAAATCTCATGCTTTTCTTTCAGCTAAAGTAGACTAGATCTCTAGGGGAACAACTGGAAAACACACATGAGGGGGTGTCCAGTGGCAGGAGCAGGTTTTAGAGGAGGAAGGCACACCATCGTCCCCAGGAGCCATTGCTGCCTGCGGTAGAGACGCGGCGGCAGAGACCTGGGCCTGGTCCGCTGCTGTCCATGGTGCCCACCCAGGGGCACAGTTCAGGGCCTGTATGACCGCTGGCCCAGGCTAATCCACATGCCTGTTTCTCTGAGTAGGTGGCAGTGCTGCACCCTTCTGTGCAATGTTGTGGAGACACTCAGTCTTTGCCGTCAAGAAACGGTTACTGCTCAGGATATGACAGCTCTCTGTGCTCCTCAGAGGAGAGCTGGGCTGTCCACTCATCAGACATTTCCACATGGAAACCCAGGGCCTGCTGTTAGCAGGTGATAAACCTCCCCTTCTCGGGACTCTTGCCGTCCCTCAGGCCGGGCCGCCCAGCCCTCTGGTGTCTGATGCTGCCTATTTCTGCCTTTTAGGGGGGAGTTTGGCTTGCGAGAGTACTCGGAGGTGAAGACGGTGACAGTAAAGATCCCTCAGAAGAACTCCTAAGAAGGCCAAGGGGGAAGGTGGAGGCCATCCCGCAGGACTCTCCCTCTCTGCTCTCCCTGGGGGGCCCGGCTCTCAGGAATCCAAAGTCCGTACTTGGTCCTTATTTAAAGTGAAATAATGACACGTAGGCCAGGCCAGTCAGTGGGTAATGAAAGCAGACCATGTGGGCACCATTTCCTGGCACTCTGTAAGGGTTCACCTGAATAATACCAAATACTGGGGAAAGGGGATGGAGAGCAGAGGAGTAGCTGTCAGGGACTTCGATCTCTCCAGAGGGATGGGCTGGCGCCTTTTGTCACAAAGAACTTTCCTCCTGAGGGAAGCTTGTCCTTCCATTGTCTTCATTTTCCCCTTTCCAGCCTCTCTCTGCTTACCCATCCCTCCCACCCCTCCAAGGAGATCTCAGCTGAGCTCATTTGGGGCAGATGTTTGGGCCGGGAACAATTTTCCAAGGTTTTGCAGCCAAATTACCATTTCATGTTATCCACTTCTTCAAAGCAAAACATGAAATGGTTTTAGTTAGAGCCAGACCAGACTGAAAATGCCAGGAGCTGGTACACTGCAGATGTACCAAGAAGCAAGAACTGGGGACGTTCCTGACCCAGTCTGGCTTTCTTACATCCATAAATAACACGAGCAAAAGAGCAGGAAGATGGAGATCTGGAGATCATCCTATATAGTTCACAACTTCTGATCTGGCTGCTTGGCTTTGGGGCGTGTGGGTGCACGTGTGTTTACTTCCTTCTGGGTGATTCTGGGATAAGGTGGGGGCAGGGGGGGGTTGTTTTTCATAGATTGATAAGATCTTTTTCCAAAGCTTATCTTAACAACCCAGAAATAAATGGCTGGGCTCAAGAATTTGGTAAAAGGTAATGCTGGGGGCCTTGCGGAAATAATTTCATTTTCAGTACTGGCTGACAATTCTTACTAAGTGAATTATCTCTTCAGTTGGACTCTTCAGCCTCTGTCCCCCGCCCCCCATTGCCCCAGCACTGCTACTCCCAGTGCTCTGGCTGTCACTTTGGCCTATCGTGCCCTAAATCCACTGGCAGTAACCCTGGAGAACCTGAGCAAGCCTGCAGATTCCGTGTCACTCGCAGACTTGCAGCGTGCCACGATTGCCACGTTCCACCAGACCTCCGCCGACTCGTCCAGCGGCTCGTCCACGTCCACGCGGCCTTTTCCCTCCCAGCCTCCCCAGGAGCCTCCCGAGGGGGAGGCACCAAGCGGTGCCCCTCCCTCCCCTCCAGTCACACCCTCCTCTCCTGCTTTCCAATGCATCCACCGCATCCACCGGTTGATGGACAGCATCACCTTCCTTTCCTCCTTCCACTCTCCTGGCTGCCGAAGTCAGTCCGGTCTGTAACGTAGATGGAGATCATTTATTTAAAAGTACCAAACATAGCCTAGAGTACATGGAATATGGCCAACACATATATAGTCTTCTGTATTTAATGGGTTTCTGCTTTCTAACCATCCCGGGTTTCTATTTATAAGTCTTGTCTATTCATGATGTTTAAAGAAATCCCTCCTCGCTGTTATTTACGAACGGCAGTGCATTCAGTGGCCCGATGCCTTGAGAGACGCCACATCTCTGAGCCCTTCCGTGTGACTGTCATGCTCTCCTTATAGCTTGTGTCCAAGTGAACATATCCATTAACCAGCTAGTTACCTTTCAACTGCAGTATAGAATGTGAAAATGAAGATTTATTTCTTTTAATTTACTTAAAAAGAAACCTCTGTGCTAGCAATAAAGCATTTATATTGTGTACTCCTTGGGGTTATTTGGCTGTGTTTATAAATCTTTGTGTCATACTGAGTACACTTGGGTCCTTCTCTCAGTGGCTGGGGCTTTCAGCTGGGCTGTTTTCTCTGGTTACTGACCAGAAGGCTGGGTGAGTATTTTTACAGAATGCAGTAAAGTGAACAAGACCCTTGTTTTCTGACACAATTCAGAATTGGTGTATACATACAGTTTTGTGTGGCAAACAAGTATAATCATTTATGAAGCCTGGGAAATGACTTCATTCAAAACGCAAAGGAGCCTCGGGGCCTCGTCCTCGCCGTCATGGCTACATGACAGAGCTCGTGTTGCTGATGGTATTTGGCAGTGGTTTTGTTTTTATTTACTGTGGTGCAATGAAGTCAAAAGCTGACAACCTGACGCAGTATTTTGGCAGCTGTAAGAAGGAAGCTGTGAATGGTGACTGTATTACCGGCTAGAGTTTGTTTGCTCTGCATTCTCAGAGTTGAGCTTTGGGGGAGTGCTTTCCACTCTTCAGACCTGCACATCCCCTCCTTCCAACGCTTGGAATCTTCACCTGAGCCCTAGTCATGTGAGACAAAACAAAAACTGATGACTTGGCCACAAAGGGGATCAGACTGGGTGGAGAGTCGTGCTGCTCTCTGACTGCTGAGATCTCGTCCCTCAGAGGAGGAAACTGAACCTGGGGAGCGCATCCCCAGGGCACTGGGGTGTATTCTGAAATATAAGATGCAGGCTCCCTATGAATCTACTTCATGTTCATTACTTTCAGTCACCAGGAAGAAAATGAGAACCAGATGGGCATAGAGTCATCATTGAAAAGTCCTTTGGAAGCTGGCACTGTAGAGCTTCTAGATAATGGGAATCCAGAATAAGACATAATTTGATGGTTCTTCAAAGCATAAAGATCCTCAAACCTCATCCCTTTATGGTATCAATATAAAGGCAAATAAAGAGCATTACAAATGTCAGTAATGAAACTAATACAGAGACACTCGATCCTTGTCATCACCACTGTATGTTTTTTTACTGTTCATCCCTGAGCTTTCCATTATACCTTTTCCTCCAAAACATTCTCAGTGCCTTCGTATTGATGATCTCATTCTTTTTCATGGCATTTTGGACCCTAAAGGGCAAGAAAATCATAAGGTAGGGACTAAAGAACAGAAAGAGTAAGTACACTAGACTACAGTGAAACAAGAAGATGCCCAAGAAAAGAGGACACTCCGGGAGAAGCTAGCGGAAGAGGTGGGCTTTGATCTGGGCTTGAGGAAGGAGTGCAATTTCAGTAGGCAGGGGAGCGAGAAGAAGGAGTCCTTGGTAAAAGCAGTAATCTGCACAGGCGCAGAGGTGAGGCAGAGGTATGCTCTTGTGATTGTGAGGAGATGGGAGTCATTGAGATTGTGAAGGGCCCTGAGGGTCAGCCAGAGCTCCAGGTACTGTAGTAGAAAATGGGGTCCCTGGTGGTATGGGGGCTGGAGAATGACGGAGCGGTGGTTAGAGCGTGCTGGTCTGGAGCAGAGAGGATGGCAGAGAAACAGACTGGTTACAGGATGAGTGTGGTGTTATCCCAGCTTGGTCAGGGGATGGAAAGGAAGGAAACAAATCAGTGGGGAAGTCACGAGAACTCAGTGAATGAATAGGAAAGAATGAAAAGTAAATGAGTACATCTTCAAGCCCGGATGACAAGGAAATGGCAGTGCCATCAGTGCAGAAGTTGAAACATGGAACAAAGTTTTAGGGAAAGATCTTGACATCAGGCTTTGGACATGTAATTTTGAAGGTGATGAAGGAATATCCAGCCAGAGGAGCAGGCAGGTGGAGATAAGAGATTGGAACCTGGCCCGGGAGACTGAACTGGGGCATGACTATGAAAGCGATGGTTCTGAGAATTCAAGAATAGAAACAACCAGGGCCAAGGAGGAGCCGAGTGAAAAAAAAATGGAGGCAGCAGTCAGAGAACTGGGAGGAAACCATGTCGTCCCCAGAAGCCCAGGGGAGAGAGAGTTCAAGGAGGGCAGGCAGCCAAAAGCTTGAGAGCCTGACGGTTTGAGGAGCCCCACGTTAAGGGATTCTGAATTGATCTCTTCATTTACAAAGTGGAGGCTGGTGGTGGCCGTCAGTCGAGAGAGGTGATAAGCAGCCACTGCCATGCACACGCTTCATGCCGTGAGCCGGGAGGCCTCTCAGAGTTCCACGGTGCTCAGCAGCCAGCAGAGCCCCCGCCTCTCCTGAGCCGTGGTGCGGGTTCGTAACCAAGCAGCCAGCGTCTGTCTACGTCTGCCCTGCCCTGCTCTGCTCCATCCTGCTCCGCGCTCTTGTCCTCCCTGGAGCCCCCTGGAAACAGAGGATGTGAGCTCCCATTCGATACTTGCCCCCTTTGATTAGAAGAAACTAGAGCTGGATTAGCTGGCTGAGGTCAGGAGGGGGAGAATGGCCTCGGAACAAGTGTCCAAAAGTGGGTAGGGCTGGGGAAGACCTAGAGAGGAGGCATAGCGGGACTGTTGGGGAAAGTCTCCTCACAGTGGAGTCTCCTCACGTGTATTTATGTAATTATTAGTTTTTCTAGGGTATTTTTTGGGAGAGGGCTGTTGACAAATATCCCCAAGATATTTAAAGTCGATCACAGTGCTTGAAATACACTAGGAATAATAGAAACAATTATAAAATCACATGAATTAAAAATGGGATGAAAAGAAAACAACAGTGGGAAACCAAGTGCAGCCAGAAAGAGGCTGGAAAATAACACATTCTGCAAGGTGCTCTCACTGTTTGTAGGGGTCGCTGTTAACCCGAACAGGAAAGAGCTAACACTGCAGACCACTGACCCTAAGAAACCACTCCCCTGTCCTCCACCTTCCCTCCACAAATGTTTATGACGCCAGGCGTTGGCATGGATGCTGGGGCGCAAAGCCAGCCAGGCACAGCTCCTACCTTGTGAAGCTTCCAGTCTGACAGGATAACCATAACTGTGGGACGTCTGCTTTGCTCTCTCACTGTAACTCCTTGCCGGGCACATACATCCAGTTTATGGAAGGATCACACAGACCCTTTCTCACATCGTCTTGTTGGTAATCCAGAGTGACAGCCAACTAGCAACGCGACGTGGGGAAAAGCACGTTGCATGAGAAGGTCAGAAAAGTGATCAGCAGCCCTCCCTTGTAGTCCCTTTACAGGAAGTTGTGTGTGTGTTTGGGGAAGTCCCTTCACTTAGGTGGGCCTTGCACCATGCCGTGCGGGGATGAAACATCATGAATGGTCAGTTTCTTCGGTTGCTCCGAAGCGTCATGCGCACACACAGCTCTAAGCTACAAAAAGTAATAACAAAGTGACCCTGTTGCTTTGCTGGTCAATCCGTAGGACACCAGAATTTGTCATTTCTCACTCAGCTTTAAGGCCACCACCCAGACCCTGACTCTCTAGAGTGGGATTCCTCGGGTCTCCGGGGAGGCCACCTTGCCTGGAGTTGGGCCACACGTGCAGCCCTCAAGCCAGCTAGGACCGAGGGGGATGCACGTAGCTCCGGCCGTTCCCCAGATTTCGGTCCTGTGTATTCGACACATTGTTCAGACGCCGCGTGGGGTGATGATGAGGCCTGCAGGCTCTGGCCGGACTGCCGGTGCCTCCCCGAATGTCTCACACAACAACTGCTCCTCAGTGGTGCTGGCTGGGAGTGAGAGCATGGGAAAGTCCAGTCCAGAACGGCATGAGCCCTCTTCCTAAACACGTACATGGTCTAATTCTCACTTGGTTATTGGCCAGATTAACAGGAAGATCGGCTTGCCATGTAGCCTTTGATGTGAAACTGCTTAGATAATGTTTCCTTTGGCCATTTATCTATGTAGCAAGGAGGAACCTGAAACCAGCCCAGCCTGGGCCCCCTTCCTGCTGGAGCATGAGCGCCTCTTCATGGTTTCAGGGTCTTTGAGCCTTGCTTTTTTGGTTTGTTTCTCAAGAGCAGGTCCCTGTCCCTCCTCTCCTTCTCCCAAAATAGATGTTATTATCAAGTGGGCTCAAGTTGCCGAATTTCTTTTATGAAGCGGTTTCCCCAGTCTGCTTCAGAGATGTGCCATAGGCTTCCTATTTTATGTTATGAGCAGAATAAAAAGTACTCTAAGCCCAAGCACTCGTGAGCTGCAAAGAATAGACTCCTCCAGGCGCCATCCCATCTGGAGCCAAACGCAGTGATTCCAGGGCTCTGGGAAGACCTCTTCTAATTCCAAGCAGATACATCCAATTTATGGAAGGATAATGTAGAACGTTTCCCAGTTCCTCTTGGTTGGTGACCTAGAGGGAGAACTTTCAGAGATTCCCATGAGAGCCAAGCAGCAATGAACAAGCACCCATAGTGCTTCTTAAGTTTGCCAGAGTTTGGCAAACCCAAGGGAAGTTTTGTTGGTTAAACAGCTGAGATCTCAGTCTCCATTTCCCAAGTTAGGTTCATTCATAAACAACACAGAATTCGAGTAAAATTGGATAAATTCCAGATGCCACTTGTGAATACAATTAGCTCATGTTCCCTAGTGGCCCTGAGGGAGGTGTGATGGCCACAAACACTCTCGGAGGCTGCTGCAATGTCCACTCCCAGCCCCTAATTGTGTGTGCCTTGCCAAAGAGAGGTGGGGACAGGAGCTTGTCAGACAAAGGCTGGGGACCACGGGTGTGTGTGTGTGTGTGTGTGTGTGTACATGATATCCACCCACCACATGACTACTCTTTTAAGTTCAGATCTGACACACTCTGATTCCAGGAATTGGAGTTAGTAACTGTTAGTAACAGTTATGCTAGTCACATAAAGAGATTCCCAGCGGGCAAAGCAGCAAAATTCTAGAGTGTTCCACCGCTCACTAGCTGTGTGCTTTGGAAAATTTGTTAACTATCCAAGCTCTCAGTTTCCTCACCTGGAAAATGGGGGTAATAAAATTACCTACCTCACACAGTTGTCATGAGAGTGGAATAAGAGATGTGTGTAAAATGCTTACTGAGGTCCACTCTAAGGGCTCAAA